CTTGTCTCACACACTTCCTTATGACAGAGCCAAGAGATCGTAGGATTAGATCCACCGTCGCGCTGTAGCGACTACTGCAGTCAGCTAGTGTTCTTATGTAAGAAGGGTGCACTCCTTGATCGACTGATGCTGACAGGATCGCATTCATTTCGACGACGCTATCAAAAGCTTTTCATAGTCAACAAAGGTAAGTACAAGGGGCATTCGGAATTCTCGGCGCACTTCGATGACAACTGCGACCGTTTGGATGTGATCTGAGCAGCTGAATCTCTCCGGAATACAACTTTCCCTACAGCTTCATCCATCGTTCACGATATGCGGGTTAGAATGATCTTCGTGAACAGCTTCTAAAGTATGAGATTTTGTCGGGGCCTAGACCCTTTTCATGCCCGCAATCGCAACTCTCACCTGCCAAGGGAGGATCCTAGGTGCTGTTTCTCTAGTGGGAATTTTCGGTTCTCGCACGTATTTTGTGGACCGGTACAGGTTGGTGTAAAACCCTTGTGTAAATTCCTCCTTCAAAACTCGATGTTGTAAGTGTTCCGTCTTCCTTCTTCACACGCAAGTGGAATACTGTGGCTCTGAAGAAGATGTCGTTTGGAATTTGTCATCTTCTCCAGAATTCTAAACCTGCTTTGAATTTGAAAACTGGACCCTACTCCATTAGAAGTTCAATCACCTCTAAATTTTCGATCGCGTGTTTTGTACTCAAAGCTTTTTCCATAATTGGCATGTCTGTCTAGTCATCGAACTCTTTCATGATACAGAATATTCATTGTCAAGCATCGACTGACCGTGAGATCGATAGCACCTTCGAGTTCTCTATGTATGTATTGGGCTATATGTATTGTGTATGTATCTATGAACTATATGTGAATAGATGTCATTTCAGAGTATACATGTGTGCTTTGTAGGACTGCCAGCCATCACAATTGTGGATAACGCACAATTGCAAACCTTGGAATTCCCTGAATTGGTAAAATTCGAGGAGGTGGAGTCAATGATAGTTGTGAAGAACAATCCACTGATTCCTCCCAGTGAAATAGCTTTCCTCAGAAACCTTTGCCCGCTCTGTGATATCCAGCATAGCAATTCCCGTAAGTTAATTAACAAAGTGGAAAATTCTTACCTAAGAAAAAAAGAGAGATTCTGGTGGTGGTAATCTGGTGTTGAGTAATCAGTAATAATCGAAAAATTAGATTCTCTGCACTTCTATTGATAATAACAAAATGCTTCAGAAATCTTTCAGAATGCAAGGAAATGACGGTCGTGGGATCTGTCGAAGAACTCGTGGAGATGTGCCAAGGAGCACCAGTAATCACTACCGTCGGAGGTGTCGTTATCCGTGAACAATTTACGGAACCCCAAATAGTCAAGCTGTTTTCTGGTGCCCGTGAAGTTAAAATGTGTGCCATTGTCAACAGCACTTCAATCGAAAACCTCTCCTTCCCCCATGTAGTGCGATGGACATCCTGCAAGAGCGGTAGGTTTTTATGCTAGCAAATTAAGTCTTTCTAGCAGATTTAATAGAATTTACTCTTGAAAACCGAATGTTTCCAGGCCTTCCGGCTCTTACTGTAACGGACAACATGAAATTGAAGAATATCCAGTTCCCCTCTTGTAAGCAGATGGGTTGCATCGAAAGTGGCGTGATCAGCGGCAATTCCCTCCTTCCACAAAATGTGAAAACCGTGATCAAACAGTATTGCAGCGACTGTGTCTTCGGTGAGCAAGGCTTGACCAAATTCAGTAGCTGGAGCTCCGGTAAAGTTCTTACGTTTTCTTAGTTCCTATATAACCAGCCGGATTGCCCGGCTAACCGTGGGTCTTATTTCGTACTTTAACAATGTAATAGATGAAGAATGTGGTTAGGAGGGGAAAAAATCGCTTTTATTCAAGACTGAGGGCTTGGGTGCAGAGAAGCCGACCTTACCTGTGTATAGAAACGGTTATAGACGGAAGAATATAGTTTTGACTCAAGTCTAAAGAGGGCGGAGCCCGACTACCCGACTTACCACTAATACCCATTATCATCAGAATAGAAAAAAGCATAAGCATTCGTCCGAAAACCTGCACTGTTACAAAGAAACCTTCCTCGGGGTGCCACGGAGGGGGGGGGGGGCTGCCATCCTATTCAACCAGTTCCCGTTTTATTTAAGACACGCCACTTTTGTGTTCTAACCCTGATTCCGGGAGCATACGTAAAGGCGTTGGCGCGCTCTCCTAGAAATTATAGATGTTTTAAGAGCAATAATTGAAATGTGTCGACGGACAGATTCCCACTTGAGTTGCACATTCTTCTTTAGCATTTGGAAACATTTTAGGAACGAAAGTCTAATATTATTCTCATTCAAAAAGCCTTGTTTCAGGACAATCCCAAAATCTTCCAGTGCTGAGTGGAGGACTTTGACTGTCGACATCACTTCACGATTTCAGAACAGTTATTTGCTCTTTGATATAAAATCGTGAATAAAGCAGTAAATC